GTACGCCAATTCAAAGCTTCGTATTTCCACCGCCTGCCAGTATCACTTCACCGACTCTCCGTGGTATACGTTCGATTAACTGATTGATGAATGTAAGGATTATTTTGCCTCAGATTTGTATCAAGGGAGCTTTCTGACTTTCCACTTAGGCAGGAACCTTGCTTGACAGAATTTTCCTTCCTGAATTAGTCGCGCACGTGCGGTGTCGGATTTAAGTATGATACTTGCAATGAACACAAAGGGATCCATATCGTTATTCTGTGTTTAATACACACGTCCGTCATTACGTGCCACAAACACGGAATAGGCGTCTCTCACGTAAGTGGTAAGTGTGTTCTTCGGCTTCCTCTTCATGTGACCGCTAGGCTACTTTAACACGTGTAAAATCCGAACGGCGGACTCCCAGTGCTTCAGGTCCTGGTTTGATGCGCCGGGATCGGGTCTTGTGCGTGGCGCGCGTAGACGGGCTGCCTTAGCTCTGCCAGCCACTGCGTCCAATCTCATCAGTGGTTGGTTGACTGGCTCGGTCAATTAACTGGCGCATGGCACCTGGAAGAGAGAGCGAGTTCAACCTCGGGGCTTCCATTCCTATGGAAATTCAGCACATTCCCCATTACAATAAATTTGAAGGTGCTTAAAAACACCACTACATGCTAAACTATGTGGCTTTGGAGGTTACCAAATGACTGTACAACTCAGGCCTAACAGTCGACCCTGTATGCGTGCTTGTATGTAGTGACCGACTGGTGTACTGACTGCCAGGATCAATAGCTCCTTCTTAATCATGCCTCTACAGCATTTTCACGCATGTGAGATCCGAACCACCCACTCCTTCGTGTGAAGTGCTGGCGGATCGTGCGTGGAGACAGATCGTTTGCGCGGCACGCGCAGACGGGTCGTTTAGCCCTGTCGGTCACTGCGTCTGATCCCATCTCCGGTTTTTGTGATTCCCTTTTGGCACCGGGTTCAGATGAGTAAGAGAGGAGAGGGTGAGGTAGAGACGGCGAAAGTCTGTAGCGGGCAACCATCATGACCAGTCTGTCGTTATTGTTCAAGACCTCGCCGCTCAAGGCTATTCACTCCTTGCAGCGAGCCGTTTCATACGCGCTGACCTGAAGCCAATCGACCGACATCAGCTCGAACACAGTTGCGTCCTCACAGTGTCGCGGCTACCCATGCGTCACTTGAACGCGCCACCCCCTGCAACCAGCAAAACAAGCCACTAGGCAAATGCAACACACACTGACTGAGCATCACTTGAGCTTGGCCCACGAGCCTACAAAGGCGGCTGCCACCACTATCTCAGGGGCTCTCAGGAATGAATGGACGCAGTCAACACCAGCCCTGGCTTCGCCAGTGGCCACTACTGCCTGAGAGGACAACTCCAGGTTCTGCATGCCGTTAACCCCTCATTCTAGTGTCTTCTCTCTCCTTCCAACACTAGGATTTGCCCCGATTATGGTAGCGATCAGACGGCACACACTTACACGGCATAACCACCACAAGTCCACTATCGCTATAAACTAACTCGTGAGTAAGTTACTGTCCTTGCGCCCACCATGCTGCGGGGTACACGGTGGACGTCGTAGGCAATCATGATCTAGCCACCGTGTCTGGCTAAAGTATTTAAATAATTCTGACTTGGTGGGGAGCCTTGTCATCCATCCGCAGCACGTAATCCCAATCCTATTGCCATTTGGGGCGTATTTCCTCTAATTATCCGAAGGTATTTCTCATGATTAACGTATCGGTGTTTAATCCGGAATTCACTTTTACAGTTTGTCCATGTTGCCTCAGACATGTATTGACCACCGATCACCCTGTGCAATGGAATAGATAAAGCCCATGGAAGACAGTTCTTTAGCTGCTCAAAATATATTTCTCCGTCTTCTTGTTTCAGACTAAACCGCTATACGTCGGTTCAAGTTAATCGACTCCATTATGAAGTACAGTAAGATATAGTAATAGGGACGTCCCATGATACAGGTGGCCTTGCGCTAAATTCCATCACGGATGCCCCTTCAATTGTACTAAACTTAACAGTAACCCTTACTTTAATTTTCTCGGAATTTAACGCAAGACCGCTCATATTACGGGCGATTGCTATTCCTGTATCCTACCTACAACTTTTGCAGATCCTACTGGCTGCCTGTTGGCAGTTTATGAATATTACGCAGTCAATCCGCTGTGGCTGATGGATTTCGGTCCAAATATTCCTATCAAATGTCACTCTGAGCATGTAAGTCTCAAATAGACTGATAAACCCTAAGTTAGCGATTACTTTCTGAGGAAACAAAAACCTGCAATTTCAGACCTGGAATATATACCAGAAGGCGCAATGAGAACGCTGGTGGGCTTGCTGATGAACCGAACCACTCGCAGCTGCGTCATACAGCGACAGAATGTCGACGAGACACATATCTGGGTTTTTAGCTAGTACCTGGGCAACCTATGCCTACCTACAGTATGTCGGGATACTGTCACACCGAACATTGAAGTCTTGTTCTTAGGAGGGCAGCATTTAGCCAAAGTAGGCACCTCAGACCTCTGTTTTTGAGACCGAGCTTATTCCTCCATCGGACGAATGTGTGCGTAAGTACTTAATATTGACACAATCGTGCAGTGCTGGGGCCAATTTGGACAGGCTGACTCTCCTAGCCGTCAGTGCGATTGGGAACCGGCTGGCGGCCCAGTCGTCCTTGGTTGCTTCGGCAAGAAAAGCCACTAGCCGCACCACGGAAGCTTCAAATGTATGTTCGCAAGAGGAATCAAATTGGTTTGATATTTTTTGAAGATGGGCGGTTTACATATTTTTCTGAATTGAGGAAAGCTTCATGTCGATTCCTCATTCAGTCGCGATAGTTTTTACTTCCCACAACTAAGTACTCATGCTATGCAAGACGCAGACATACGCAGTTCCTCTGCCAATACCAGTGAGATGAATGTATTCACAACAACCATATGGTCACGTGGCACAATCAGCTGTTTGCATGTTGCTTTTAGCCAGTACTGCGAGCCTTACCCTAGTCGAACCATTTACTGATAGCTTCCCAATGCAAGCTAGACCTAACGCTGTGCTAACCTTCATAGGTAGCCGCGAATAACAATAATATAGGTTCACACCAAAGCAGATGGAAAAAAAGGCAAACGAAACGTACTCTATGAGGATTGAGGGAGCCTTAAAAATCCGTTAGAAAATCAGGTCACAACGCGCCTGCTGATCACCGGCTACAAAAGACCTATAAAACTGACCGTTAAAATATTCTCTCATCCAAAAACAACCCGCATCTAAACCCCAGGGGTCAAATTTTAGACCATTTCTAGCTAATTTTGGTCATTGGGTTCCGACCAAATTATAAGGCGCTGTAAGGGCAAGCGCCATTAACAAATGACGCGCAAATGAAAACCCGACGGGTCTTTAATAAAAAACTATTATGTAAATTCTGGACGTGTGTGATACGATAAAAAAGGGAATATGTAACCAACAAGCATTACCAAAATGCCTATGCAAAACTAGTTATTTTAGAAATAGCATACAAATTCCGGAACAAGTGTAGTTTGGTCAATTCAATATCACAAAAATACATGTTCGGACATCTTTATATCCAGGATAAGCTTCCTTGCATATGCAATTGACATAAAAATAGAATTTGGTTTTAATTTTCATCCAAGCTAGTGGGAGGGGCAACTTTGAATCCTCTCAAATCTCACAAAAAGCGCCACAAGGAATCGATCAAGCTATATGCCCTAGGGAAGGCGAGACATAAATAGCAATTGGCCGTTCTTGTCGGGTATGGGGAGAAGGGTTGGATACTATGTTGATTTGAAGTGTTTGCTCAGTCGTTTTCTCAAAAGAAGCCCTATTTTGACCGCAAGCGCGCGGATCTTGGGTGAGTTAAAAGTCTTGTGATGTTTTAAAATGATTTCAGCTCTCCAGAGGTTAGAGATTTCCCCATAGGAAGACCAGATTCGATGGAAATTTGTGAAGCATCAAATTAGCTTGAAATGGTCTAAAATTTGGCCCCTGGGGTTTACTTGAGTATTCAATTAGGATATTATCACACTCAAAGAGGTTCCGAGTAATGCTCTCATTTGTATGT